ATCGCCCTTCCAAAGTAAATAGAATAAAATCTCGTTGCCACATACTGCAGTGCAGAAGAATGTCAGGAAGTCTGGTCTGGCCAGGGAAAATGCTAACAAAACCAACCGCAGCCAGGCAGCACCGAGGGGAGAGGGGACAGGCACCCATGGGAACTTCAAAGGAAAGGTTATGTCTGTAAAGAAGAGAAAGAATGGCTTCACCCTCTCCCCTCTGGCCATTTAGAGATGCCCTGTGTAACTGCAGGTAAGGCAGCTGCTTGGTCCCATTGATGAATCCTTTCAATTTGCTTATAGGACTTGCCTTTCGTTAACTAAATAACTGCTCTCCCCACCCAATTTTCTACCAGTTTTCCATGTCAGTAACTAATGCACTCCACCTTGTGCACAATACCAGCACAGAGCAAAGACAGGACCTCAGATTTCAGTAGATATGGTGAAGAGTACATCTGGATAACCATCAGTGCAGTCCCTTCTTGTTTTCCCTTTACTAAAGTCATGATGACTCAAATGAGCAGCATTTAAATGGCTGTGGAACAAGAACTGTACAGCAACACAACACAAAGGCATTTGGGGAGGGCCTTCATCTGAAATTCTGCATTTTGCACAGAGAATGGTGGTTAAGCATCCAGAAACCCGTGGATGGTTTGTCATGCTGCAGCATCTGGCATAGATTGGACAAAAACCTGGTGCGTGCCGACCACAAGCAGCCATAGTACATGCCTGACCACCTGGAAAGGAGTGGATGGAAAACTGAAGACCCATGCTGGACTAGTCACATATAGATGTATTTTCCTTTGTCACATAAGGCTGCCTACAGGAATGTGAATATAAAAAAGATTCAATGTACTCCTGTCTATGACAGTCTGAGACATTTCACACATCTAACATCTACACGGCACAATGGAAAAGCGTGAAGGAGAGACTTTGAGCCGCTCGACTCCAGAAATCACTCCACATGGCAGCAACCTCCGGTAAAACAGCCTCACAGCTGCTCTAAAGTGTTCCAGCTGGTAACACGTCCTCGCAAGGAGCCATCTGCTAGCAAGAGTGCATCAATACCACACTGATATGCCTATAGCCTCTACCTCTCAGGCTAGAGATGCAAGCAGCACAGCAGGCTTTTGCCACCCAAAAAGCTTGCATAGTTCCTGGCTTGAAAAATCTGCCTTCCTTGCAAGCTTGTAAGGGCTGGGGGAATCAATCCTCTGAAACAACACCTTCCTTCCCAGGTACATTTGTTGACACTGAATCAGTTTGTGCTCATGAGCAATTCTGTACACCCTTTGCATTCCACTTACGCTCTCAGATGGGCCACAAGAGAGATACAAGTGATGTGGGCAGAGCTACAAAAGACTAAATGATGCTCCTCAGCTCATCTATGTTTGCCAACAAGCTGCAAAGAGATTAAAGAGCAATGGCCACAGTGGACCTTGAGCACTCAGGAACAGCCATTAGGAAAGGCTGGGAGGAAAAATCCCCTTTTTCAAGTTTGTGGAGGCGTGGGCAGAAGCCACACACACCACCCAAGAGGCAACCGTTTCGGCATCCTTGTCTGTGTTGCTTTATACTAAAGAGATCTTTAAAAGGCAGAAGAGATCGCCACCCTGGGTGAATCCTTAAAATTTCTGTTTAAAAGTAATGAAGGAAGAAGTCAAACAGAACACTTTCAAAAGGTCCTAGGTAAAAGCATTCTACTCTTGGTGGTGGTACCTGTTATGAAACAGAGCTAGTCTACCCTCCTGGCATCAGTGGCAGGCATAGAAACTCTCTCAGCTCCGAACAACATACCCCACATACATGAGCTCACACCTTCTCCTGGCTACATGTCTCAAAAGCAGGACTGGAGCATGAACCTCGCTGTCTCAGCAGGTGCAAGTCACTGAATGGGCTCAGTACTAACCAACGTACAGGGAGGATGCTCTTGGTACAGGGGAAAGAACCCACATATGTGGCTGCCCTACTTCCCTCTTGAAAGTGCTGGGCTAAGCTGGAAAAGTTAACATGGGTAAAATATAAACCACCTCTGTCCCCATCAAATTTCTTGCTGGGTAACCACAGGAATGTCAGATTCTCCCATGTTGGCACAATAATACAGGGACTGTTCCTGAAGGTTAGGGAAGTTTATTTTTACAACTTTGCACAGTGCCTACAAATCTTTCAGCCACAGAGCATCTGGTTCAGACACTGCCCTTTGAATGGCTTTTCTGTTGGTGCAGTAATTAAAGGTATCCCAGGTGACACCTGATCCCTTATCAAGTTCATTAATTTAAGTGGAGTTATTTAGCTCTCTATTTTCTATACTTCATAATGTATTTCTAACCTTTAAAGTGACATAGGCAAGCACCAGATTGCAGGGGCACTTATTAACAGCCTATTAAAATATTTTATGGCCTTTATTTTTATGTTGCCATAGGGAATCAAGTATTTTGCTGTTGTTGAACAGGCTCAGGATTTATGTTGCGAGAGCTTCACCACAACCTAACACAGAGCAGCACTAGGAAATGAACTGGGAGAACAAACTCCCATTCAGCTCCCCATGTGCCGTAAAGCTGTCACATGCAGATGGTAGCAAGGGGGCCTCCAATGCAGGCCCTCAGTTTGCTTTGGGTTTTTAAATATAAACTGGTAAGACAAGATGCAAAGCTCTGGGACCACGCTGAGAGCCGGCAAAGGCAGCATGTGTCTTGAGAAACAGATCTGGGTGTCTTTTCACCAACCATATAGACCCAGGGAGCTAAGCTCAGAAAGGATCTTCCTGGTCACCTGGGAAATAATGTGGTCTGTGGCTTTTTATTCCAGAGCTGCTGTACCACATCCACATTTTGCAGCTGAGTTAGAGCCAATGACGTTGGAAGAAGACCACAATCTTACCTAGAAGATGACTAAATTTTATCTAGAAGACAACTATGATCTTACCTAAAAGTTTTCCAGAGGTTGCAAGCCCTTCACATCCCTAGGAATCCTCCCTCAAAGGTGAATTCACTTCTCTGTTAAAAATCTGGACCCTCTCCTAACTCAAGCATATCCTATACTGAGACAACACATGCCTTGGATTTAGAGACTCAACTCTGTCCTGCTTAGGTATTCAGAAATTACAATCAAGTCTGTTCCGAAATTCTTGTTTTCATAAACTTCCTAGGGTGAGCTTGGGGTCTTCCTGAGTTTATATTACATTTCTCTTATTTTTTCAAGCATAAAAAAATCATTTGTAATGAAGCAACATGTTTGGAAGGGTATCAGCAACATACTTGAAAGTATTTTAATTGCTTGTGTTTTCAAAATGTTTTAATGAAGTCAAATCGGGAACGAACACTCATCTGCCAAAGAACCTATAAAATATTTTACAATGATATTATAATTGACGTAACTGGTTGTATAAATTCCTGGCATTTTAAACAAAGACAGCAGAGATTAGCACAAGCAAGGTTATTCAGTAGGCAATTATTATTCCTGCTTTAATTATAATGGCTTTGGTTCCCCCTCCCCAGTTTTTAATTTAAATGTCATACTGCAAGGCTTTCTAGACAGATTTTGTATGGGTAACCTTAGAAGGACTGTTCTCAGTGAGTAATCCTATAGCACTAATGCATGATGAGTAGTCATATTATAAGTGCTATTAAATGTACCATTCCTTTAATGCCTGATGCAAGACCGAATGAAAGACTATCATGCTGGGATCAGTCCTGGACATCCAGGAGGGACTGCTCCTCCAATTTCATCTTATAGTTGAGCGATCGCAGTAGAAACAGGCACACCGCAAAGCAGCCTGCCCGCAACCTGGGCAGGGACAGACACAGTGAACGAGCAACACTGCGAGTCCCCAAACTCACTGCAGTCTCCTGCATTTGTACAGGCTCTGGTCCCCTTTCCTCCCAACCCTTGAAGAAGAATCTGTGCCTAAGAAACTAAAACTTCACCCAAAGGACCATGCCAGGTTGTGGCATGCCAGTGGCATTGCAAGCTTTGGCTGATGGAAGATTTTAAAGGGGGGACTGACCTAGTTTAAATTAAAGCCGGATCTGCTAGAGCAGCTCAGCAGTAAGAACAATAACCTTGGAGAGAACTGCCTTGCAACTGTGCAATTTAGTCATCTTCTAACAAGCTCCCCTTGCACTTCTCTCTCACTCCCACCATGGAAGAGAGGGGAGAACCAACTTCCGGCCGTGTCGCACAAAACTCTCCTTTCCTGGGTGGGCAGTAAAGTGCTGACTCCCAACAATTTCCTCCTCCTCCTGAAGTTCATTAGATAGTTTTATTAATTAGCAGGCTCCCCATCTTATCACACACTGCACCTCAAGTCCCACTTGTATTTTTGAAGCGAGTAATTAAAGCCAGAGGTACATAAATAAATAGGAACTGATGAAGACTAATATTCTATCAATGTAATGAAGCAGCTTCCTAGACAGTAAGATGTCCAGGTTCAGGTGTTAACCAAGTCCAAGGGCAAAACATGCCTTGGCTGGCAAGCACATCCTGTGATGTGGGCACCCCCAGGTAAACCCTCAGTAACTTTGCTGAAACTAATCAGATTCTGGGAAGAACTTTGGTCATTAATTCTGTCAGGGACCAAAACAAACAGAAAAGAAGTAAGGCCACTGCCCTCACAGCACAAATAGTAATGAGCAACAATTTCAACACCTTCCCTGTAGAGACTGCAATAATTAGCCAGTAATTATCGAGCACGATTTCCTTTTATGTAGAGGGACTATGAGGTTACCTGCTTCAAGGACAGCAAACACAACTTTGCTTCCTTCATGCAAACCTGAATGGAAAATGCCACCACTGGCAGCCAAATCCCAATAAAGACAGTGCTTCATCATCAACCACTTGTTGGTACCTATTAGAAACCATTCTGCAGTGCCATAACTCAATGTATTGCCCCTCATTAGCACTGCTGCCAGCAGAGTTGGCTCCCCTGCACGTTCCTCAGAGAGGAACAGGGGCATAAACAGCAAAAGACAGAAACAGGCAGAGAGAAAGAAAAAAACCCAACCACTTACTTGATATTGTCAAGACATCCAGATTCAGGTTTCAGTATGGCAGTATGATGAAACATTTTATAGAGAGCGATCCCAAGGAAGATGACATTGAGCTGCAATGGGGAGAAAAAAAAAAAAAATGTACATGACATGACACAACATGCTGAGGAGAAAGTCAGCTCTGTAACAGAGGAGTTGTTGTAGGAAATCAGCTCTTGCTAGTAAGTGACTGAATTGCAGAAATCTGCCAAGTATAGGTAAGCTGACCTGTAGACTACAGGACTGGTGATGCCACAGCATTAGGAAAGCCATGGCACTGCGTATGTTACTGATATGGGGCTGATTCCAACACTAACTGTAGTACTTCAAATGACATGATGAAAAATAAAAGATATTTGTTGTAATAGCTCTTCTGTGTCTGAGAGGTATACAGGTGTGAAAGGTCATTCCAGGTATCTTGCTTAGCTGGTCCCATTGTAATGAAGCAAAAAAGCATCTTTTCCTGTGAATATATCTTTTAAATACAATGTAATGGGGCAGATGGGCAGGGAAGTCACGACTGCTGAAGATGCTTAGCACAATGCAAAGTTGAAAAATAAAAATGAAAAAGAGTTTGATTTGTCCTGTAAAAGATATAATGGTATTTCAATGTCTCAGTGTTTAAAAAGCTGTCAGTTCCTGGAAAGGAGTTTCCCCAAAAGCCCTAGCCAGGGTTTGAGACATAATCAAAAAGGGAAGATATTTTTTTTATGAATGAATTGTTTAAAGGGGAAAAAACCCAACAGTTGTAGCTGGTAGCATGGCCTCCTCCCTGATGTGGAAGGCTGCTGAAACGGCACCCAGTTGCAGGAGAAGCAGGGGAAGCAGGGACAATGTCTGCATTGAAGTGAGAATGCCTGGTTTGCTGTGTTAGCCAAACTGTAGTCTATTCAAAACAAAGGACGGTTTATTTAAGCCATATTGTAGTGATTAAAGTATAAGAAAACTCCAGTTGCCTCTAAAGTTGGGTTCTCCACCTTGTTGCTGTGTTAGCTGATACGCTGGCAATGTGCTAACTGTGAAGTCACACGAGCTTCAACTTCTGCCAGGGAGGAAAAACCTCCATCAAACCTCTCTTCCAGTTTAGACTTTATTTCATTCCCCCCATCCCAGATTTCCCTTTTTTGCATGATCAGTGCAAAGCTTTGCTCTGGAATTCAAAAGCAAGGGGGCAGTGAGGGGCAACAAAATAGAGTTTGGCACCTCTAAATGTCCAATGGTAGAAACTAAACTATGCAAGAGCCTGCTCTGAAGCTCCCCGGCCTGTTCTGATCAAGTATTTTGCAATGCCAAGAGCTACTCATAATGAGGGTCTAATTGCTTGTGCCAGGTGGGGTCAAAGAAGAACATGCCTTTCTCAAATTAATCTGTGTAAATTAAAGATAAAGAGTAAAGGGACAGCAAAAGTTTTATTTCTTGACCTGAGAGATGGAGTAGTTAATTAGGAGTTCTTACCATAATTATCAAGGTCGCCGGTCCTATAAAGCTCCAAATGAAGTAGGTGTCAAGTCGGAGCCAACATCTGTAATGAAACACAGGGGAGAGAAGGCATTCAAGGACTGCACCCAGGACATACATCAAGAGTGAGCGAGTGACAGAGAAGAATGTGAGCTGCAAAACACGCCGGTGGGAGACAGGAAATATTACATTGCTTGTTCATTTAAATGCTGAATTATGTGCCCAATTTCTGACAGCGCTATTGATGGAGTAAGATAATTACCTCTGGAGGAAGCAGGGAGAAAATGGCACAAGGCCTAGTTGTTAAGGGTTTCTGCATCTGTTGAAAAAAAAAAACCTTAAAACTTTTTTTAAGGAAGGGGTCCGATGAGCATCCATGGAGCTGCTTCTTCACTTTAAGCTCCTCTTCCCTCTCCGGCTCTGATGCAATGCAAGCTGTCTGTCAACTGTCAAGCAAGATGACATTTCTCCAGCAAGCAGATCAGAGCAAATTTGGTGCAAATAGGAAGCACGATTTGGATAACAGAAGGCTGAAGTTTAATTAGGTTCAGCAACTTCCCCTTTAGAGCATTTTATTTTCCTGAACCTCCGGAGTGTTTTGTTTCCACTGATGTTTCAAGGGTTGCATATGGTCTGTGCTATCACATGAAGTTGATTCATGGTCTAAAACTAAATTATTAATCGCTTAATTTCAACCGCATTTAATACTCCCCACATTTTTTAAGTCCCCTGGGAAATTACATTTCCATTCCTAGTTCATTCCAGGCGACAGGAAGATAAAATGGAAGTGACAGGTTACAAGACAGACGAATATAAATTCCAAGAAAGTTTTGCATGATGTTTAAAATAATAATATCTTGTCATGTTTGCAATGCTGCAAATCACAGCTCCATTTATACACAGATGACTAAGAAAGCATAAAACCACTCATACTAAACATCCAATGGAATTTCATAATCCAGCAAGCAACAGGAACTGTATATATTAATTTATCACCGTGGAAGAGATAGTAGTTTTCACAAATGACAGCTCTAGTGCACGTGCTGAATGTTTTTTTCCCTTCCAATGGACTTTGCAACAGGCAGAAAGGTCTGTGCCAGCAGCCCCATGGAACAGATCAGCAGGAGCTGCCTGCTGAGAGAATAAAACATGCCCTGAACCTCTACCACTGTGAGAAGCCAAGATATGAATAAATTCAAAGATGCAGACAAAGCTTCAAACTTCCCTCCCTGACCATATAAATTTCAGGTCTCATCAGTGTTGAAGATGTATCGATACATAGATGGTTGTACAGCTATTCATCACAAATTAAAACACCGTAGCTTCTGTGACCGTCACTCCTGAACTGCCTCTTGCAGCTGTTCATCCAAAATCTTCATGTGACAGCAACAAAATCTTAAGGTTAGAAGCAAACAGAGGCTTTCAGAGCGATTATAGGGAAATCTTGTTTCCTCTGTGGCTGCTGAAGTTCAAGGTGATTTAGATGCAGCTGGTAATGGAACAACACGAGTGACTAGAAAGTATTTGAGCCCAATTTCCTACAGGAAAGGGTTTATGCAATCATGACATCTGTGTATCACCCATAATAACATCTGAAATGTCGCCCAATTGCAACTAGATTTGACAGAGGAATAGAGGTTTCAAGGATAATGAAGTCCCTCTAAAATGTCCTCTCCTGCTATCCCTGAAAAAAGACATCCACATAGCAGCAGCTCACACATTACATGGCATTTCATACTTTATACCTATCCCACCCTATAGGAAAGAAGTGTAACTAGTGCTTATGCCTCAGCTGCCACATATAAATCAGGGAATACACAGCCCCACAACTTTTTTCTACTGATAATAAAGAGTGCTGGTTGTGGGAGAGGACTAGAGGCCTAGTAGGTTTTTTTAAATTACAACATTTTGAACTTTTTTGCCAGTTTAACATTCAAAACATCCCCCAATCCCTGCTGCACAGGAGCTGGGAGCACAGAGTGTTTTAATTGCCAAGCAACTTGGTATTCCTTCAACACAAAGAGCAAGCTGGCTCTTGGAATGCCCTGGGAAGAGGAAAGGCCTAAACTCTCTCTTCACTCCTTAAAGCATGATAGCCAGCCATATGATTACATCTGATGCAGCTGGTTTTGAATGCACATAGTTTGGGACATGGGGAAAATCATAGAATCATAGAACAGTTTGGTTGGAAAAGACCATTACGATCATCTAGTCCAACCGTAAACCTAGAATTGCCAAGTTCATCACTAAAGCATGTCCCCAGGTACCACATCTACACATCCTTTAAATACCACCAAGGATGGTGACTCCACCACTTTCCTGGACATCCTGCTCCAATACTTGCCAACCCTTTCAGTGAAGAATTTTTTCCTGATCAGTGAAAGCTGAAATACAGCACAAGTGAAGAGCTGTGCTGGGCTTAGCAAAGAAATGGGAAGCAACTGTTTTCCTTTCCAGTCAGCCTAATGGATGAAATTTTCCACCTTGTTCCCCTAAAAAATCTGTCTCTTCAGTTGTGGAGCAAAATTCAGCAACAAGAGATGGGTGCTGTGGATGGGAAACAGCCAAGGAGTCATGTCCTGCCCTCAGGATAAGTAGTGGACAGGCATGGAGCAAAAAACCCCCCTTCCAACGAGAGATGGCTTCATCTAAGCAAGAGTACAGCTTGCAAAAACAAGAGAAGGCTTTTTTTAACCTCCCTGCACACTTTAGAGAACGTGATGTCATTTTTTACTTGTTTGAATAGAAAAGTCGCCTTTCTATGAAGCCATGTATGACACTCAGTCTTGGGTGACTAAAGGGAATGCTGCAGGACTGCCTCTAGTCCACAGAGGGACTTTAAAAAGCTGCTGTTTTTTTTTTTTTTGCGGTCATCAAGAAGAGATGCAACTTTGAACCCATTTAAGTCATACCTCATTAAAAATGCAAATTAAGACCAAAACATCAAAACACAGGCATCCTGCCAATTGCGTTAAGGGGCTGTAAATTGCTAAGCAGACAAGTACCACACTGAGCTTTTCTTCCCTTAAAAGACAAAAACCCACACGCACAATGAGCTGCATAAATGAGCTCCTCAAAACAAGGAAGCAATCAGGCAACTCACTTCCCAAAGTTGCTAATCTTGGGCTGCAGAGTTACTTCTGACCCCCCATGCGCAGCTGCACTGTAAACACGGACTTGCCGCATTACAAGTTTAGACTCCACTGCCATTAAGCAAATGAGCTGCTTCAGGGCTCAGCACATGGCAGAGCACATTATCTCAAAGTCTGTGGATGCTGGGAATGCTGCTCAAAACCCCATTGCTCCTTTCAAGAGTCACACCAGCATATTCAGTGCTTGTAACGAGTTCTGTGGCGCTGCCTGCCTTTACTTTTTAATTTCCTCCTTTTCCACAGTGACAAGTCGCTATATTCACCTACAGCTTTTCCCAAGTAATAAAGACTACAATAAGTTTACTCTATTTTCTGCATGAAGAGAAATCAAATACTAAACTATCCCTGGTGTGCATTAAATATAACCAATAAACAATCATTAGCTGCCACTGGACCATAAAATTTGAAGAGCCCTAAACATATCATGTTGTTCATGGGAGCCCAGCGGTTTGTTTCACGTGGCTACAGAGCCTCCTTGTCTGGGTGCAGTAATGGGATATGTATGCACAAGACATGCCTTTCAAGGGTGCAATACGGGTTCTGCTTAATGCAGTCCAGCATCCACATTGCTCATGCTTCTTCCTCCAAATACCCAGCACGAACACTGAAAATAAAACAAGTTCAGTGGAGACACCCAAGACAGACTGTATTGTTAGAAGATATTTTCTGAGCAACATTAACATGCATAAAATGTCGGCGGCTGGCTGATGGACTTGGAGGTTGTGTACATACACCAGGCTTTCATTTTGCTTTCTGACAGCTGGATTGCTTACCATGTATATCCTGCTTTATAGCATACCAAAAGCAGGAAGAGGGGGAGGGAAACAATAGAGAGATCCCTGCCATGACGAATTTGATCACCAATGAATGAATATACCTACAAGCATGTTTTCTAAAATATATTGAACCATGCAAAGCATAGCTGCTTTCCTCTGAGATTTGTAAGAGGCATTGATATGAAAACCAGGATAGTATGGGAATATGGAATAGCTTCTTGCTGTTGATTTTGGATGACTTGCTACTTGAGTGAGTCTTCTCAAAGGGAGGCTGCTAAAGGCTTAGTCTTTTACTGAATTTTAGACACAAATTGTTTTCAAACACTGTTAACAACTGCAAATGCAATTTTCCCTCTGAATTTCACAGCATTGCCCACCACAATGCTCGACATCAGATTTGGCCAAGAGATGGATGGATTTGGTTAACACACAGGGCAAGGCAAACGTTGTAACTTTTTAAAACTGCAATCCCAGTGTCTTATTTTTTGCAGCAAAATTTCAGACGTGGCAATTTAAGACTCAACAGCTGAAGACCTGGTCCATAAGAAATGGTCACTTGGAAGTTCACACAAACATCGCCAGAATCACTTTGGCAATGTTGAGGGACCACACTGTTTGCAGTGGGGCTTCCTGTTTTTCAACTTTTCTTTAGAAATTACAATCAGAACAAGGTGAGATGCAGCATTTCTGATTTATTTGGGGGAAAGGGCCAAACACGGCTCAGCTTCCTCACATAAACAGTCCCTGCTGGCCTGAATGGGATGATCTTTTAATGGAATCACTATGCTGCTGCTTGGTTATAAAAGCAAATTAATCTCCTAATAAGAGTGGTTTTAACTGCCCTTAAACAAAAAAATAGTAAAAGGATCAATTCCAATCCTTGGAATAATTAAGTGTAAGGGAGTATCTTTTCTAGGCAGCTACTCCAAAATGCCAATATGAATACTAGGACATGGGATGCTTCAGAGAATCACAAGCACCAAGCAATGAGCAAAGAAACAGAGAGAGGAACAACTGCCTGTTCCTGGCTATGTAATCTGGGCATGTGTTACAGGAGGGTTGGATTTAGAAAGGAAAATGAAATCAAGAAAACCTACACTGGGTGTCTAAGCAAATAATTCTGAGATATATGAACGGTGGCACCAAATGCCAGGCAAAAACCAAATAACACTAACAGCTCCATAACTCCTGCTTAAACAAATGCAATAAATAATGGAGGGAGGCAAGTAATATATTTCAGGGGATGTTTTACAAAACCTGGTAAAACCAAGCAACTTCTTGCAATCAAATTATGTATGCCTGGCATACAGTTCACTACAAATTCTAATCAGTTCTACCCTTCTAATAACATTATACAGAAAAATGCATCATCATCCATCAACCAGATGGAGCATGATAGTTATACAAAACATATTGTATGTTTTTTATTTTCCACTATTAGAACGTGATAAAATTGTGCACTCTGGAATTAGAGATTATAAATAAATATTTTAGGCTCTGCAAATCTCTGTAAATATTTATTTGCAAAATATTATATATACAAGTTTAATCATTAAAAAAATACTACCTTATGCTGTAGGGAGGGAGAGAGATTTTACTGGCACAGATGTAGGACTGCTGTCTCCTCAAGACAAAGATAGTAAAGTTTTGTCATTTGCCTCCAGCAAATTTCAGACAAACTTTCTGCCTCTACCTCCCATGTCATGGAAACATTTTGGCACCTAAAGCCTGTTGGAATATGTTTATTTTGCTGTGCTTCAGAAAGGTCCATATAGACATTTAACAGAAGCAAAAACATTTTAGCAATGCAAAGCTACCATGGTGTTTTATGGGAGCTGTGGTTAGGTGCCTTATGTTCTCACTCTTTACAGCCAACTTGTTGAGTGCCACTATCTCTCACAACCTACACTGGTATTCTGGTTGTCCCTACAGGGCATCACAAGGGACTTTGCAAAGATGAGGGCAGATGCAAATCAACTGCTGTCTCATGTCCAAAGCGACACCCTGGGCTTGGGTATGTCCTTTTACCACAAGGGAATGAAGTAAGACGTTTTCAACACCCAACAGTTAGAGCGCAGAATGTTTCAATACCTTGTTTGGTGGGGGGTTATATATAGCTCAACAGGGATATGAACAGAAGAGTTGGTTGGGGCATAAAGCAGGTGGTAGCTGATAGAAACAGTCTTCTTCAGAAACCATAATCAGCTGTTGTGTTACTTTTTCGTTGCCCCCTAGGTCTGTCAAAGTCGGTCAAACTACTTTGGATAAATTGGTAGAGATCCTTGAAAACTTACTCCCTCCTACCTTTATCTGTGTGAGCCATTTCCTTTCTGCAAAGTATGACATTTATACAAATTTAGGTTGCTATTCTCCTATTCATGGGAGGAACACGATGCAAATATCCAGCTGAGATCCAAGCCTACCTGCTGGCATGGTAATGGATCATGAACAGCTCTATTGCTCTACAGATCTGCTTCTGCAAGGAATGTGGTTCATATATACCAATAAGGTTTCAGGCAAAACTTTTGCAGCTGAATTTAACAGAATATCAACTGCTGCCATGGCCTGACCCGACCTACACTAAAAAAGAGCTTTAAAAATGCCACTGGCTCATTGCTATGTATGCCTTCAGATTGAGCCCTTAACTCAGTTAAAACGACAGGGGAAAGGCAGCCTGACAAGAAAAAGTTAACAAAAAAAAAAAAAAAAAGTCAATAAAAGCACACTGTTAGTGCTATTATAACAAAGCTGGGAAAGAAAATCAAAGCCTCGATTTTCCCTTTGTTTTCCATTAGACTGTGTTGCACTATCATCTAAATTGTGCTTTGATACTAGCTTCACCAATGCTGAAAACATTTAAGAATATTCATAATGATAAATGATATAGCTGTTCCAATTTCCTAAGAGTCTAATGCACTCCACAGTTACCACCTATTTTGCTTGCAGGCTCTGTTAATTTGATAGAACACTTAAAAAAGAGGAAGAAGAAAACAGTGTTTCATCATCCAAATGAGAAATACTCTTTGGTTAGAAAAAAAGGATGACCTTGCTGATACAGTACCAAACTGAGACTTGGGACAGCCACCTCTGCTGATGTTATGCAATGGCATGATAAAATTTCTCCCCGACTGACTTCCCCAAAAAAATACATTTGCAAATCATTTCATAGTGGGGAATTTGGTCTGTATCATCACAGGCTCTGTTGGAGACACAGAAATAAGGCAAGGCATGCCTCCTGGCTGAGCTCTGCCTACACAAGCCTCTGGGCTCTTCACTTCCTTTTGTTGTCCTCGCTCCCATCCCTCCTGACCAGGTCTGAGCAGTGCCAAGCCCCACTCACACTTTGTCAGTGCCGTAGCTCCGGTAGTCCACCGCTGCGGATACGGCCACAATCAGCGCAGGCATGCCGTAGCCAACCAAATAGAAGTACTTCCTCCGGGAGTGTTCACTCTCAAAAACCTCCACCAGCATGATGTACAGCTGTACCCCTTCCAGGAACATCCAGGTGAAAGCCGCCAGGAAGAAGAAGTGCAGGAGAGCAGCAAAGACAGCACAGGCAATCTGCATGTGGATTGAAAAGAGCAAGGGAAGGTGTTTGTACCACACTGAATTAATGCAACAGTCAGGATTACTTTTACTGGGAGGTTTAATAAAAATGAGGGAGTTCTTCTCTCAAAGGAAGAACTTTTTTTCCGCTTGGAAAATGTGCGAGAACTATTTTAAAATATACACATCTCTGCATATATAAATTATATTCAAAGATACAAAGGTAAGTATGTACACAATCTGGCAAATAAACATATGAAGATTTACGTAGTGTAAGCACCTTTTTACAACCTGCTTCTTAAACATACAAACACGCATTATTTACAAACAATGCACATACAGCCTCTGAAATCACAGCAGGCATCAGCATCTGACTCCCAGTTAACAACCAGGAGCCCAGCCCTGGGAAGACTCATATATATCTCACTGCATGGTCCAACATCCCACCTGCACTGAGACACGAGGCTGTGGTGGGAGTAGAAAGTGCTTTGCCTCTTACCGGTTGGTCAGTTCGGTTGATGCCGATGAGGAAGAGGAGTTCTGCCACGAAGAGGCTGATGCACAAGTTCTTGTGAATTGTGTTACGGTCACTCTGCAGCCCACGGAAGAAGCAGAAGGTGAAGATGCAGATCAGGAGACACACCAGTGAGAGCAGGATGCCAACCCACGTGATAAAGTCCAGGAGTAGGTCATGGACTGCATCACTGTGCTAGAGAGAAACAAACAAACAAAAAATCATCAGTGGCATGCTGCATGACTTCTAATCAATCCCTGACATAGAAAGAGGTTGTCTGAGAACCTTCCCCAAACATTCCACTCACCAAGCTGTGGAACAAGGGACCAGTACAAAAAGGACTAAATGGACATGGACTTGAATCCTGCATCAAGAAAGCTGCAACCTGAAACAGACTCCAAAGTGTCTGGCAAGCTGCAGGTGCCCTAAAGAGACTCAGACCCTAAAATATCCTAGAAACCATGCTGCTGCTGAAAATGCCGAGACGTCTTGCATGCAGCCCCATCTTTTACAAATAGGGCAAAAGAGAGGACACACAATATAAAGAACCATGATCACTGTTATTCGAGTGTAAAAACATTTCATGCTAGTAACATTGTGGAGATTATAATCACAAGTTTGTTATCACCATTTACCAACAGTGAAAAAATCCTCTCTTTAAATTTTCACAGAGACATATGAGCCTGGAGGGTTTGGATGGAAAGAGATCACTTAAATGTCTTGGTGGCTTGTTCGTCTGTTTGTTCATTTTTTTTTTCCCCACTGGGGAAGGAGCAAGTAAGTTTGACTTTTCTTTTTCAAACCCTGGAGCTATATTTTAAAACTCTCAGGAAGTCAGACTGACCCCTGGAATGCTACCCAGAAAAAAAAGTCAGACTTTTTAACACGGATTTGCTTTTAAATTGTAACAGAACAGTGATTTTAAGACAGCCTGGAAAGTGAGTGATTCCCTGTGACGAACTTGTAACACGGTTTTACCCCAAAGCCATGCAAACATGGCTGTTGCAGTGGCAAAATCAGGCAACTCAGCAACAAAGTTTTGCAAGGGGCAGCATAGGTGTGCCTTGGCTCTGTTATAAAACTGCTGGATTACCCCTGGGCTCACACTGCAAGTCTCTTGCAGAAAGAGGAGGGAGTTGCTGGGACCCTGACACTGAGGGTATCCCACCACCTTATTCCTTATTCAGGCTGTAAACTTGCCCGTAAATCCCTAGGTTTCAATGAAATGTGGTGAAATTAGAGATATCATTGCTTAGTAAAATGCAAATGAGAAATATATAGCGAATCACGAGACGGATGCTCGGGGATAAGTGGTCAGAGTCAATGAGCTGAAGGAAAGATGAGCTGGAAATCTCTGGGGGCTTTTCAAAAAGATCAGAGAGGCTTGAAACCCAGCTTTGTGGTCCACCAGGCTGTGTTATAAGTGGTATTCACATTTCCCTCTACTTCTGGCATTTTTATGATTTAGGCATTATGTAGGCTGGCAAATACAATAGCGTCACACTTCAAAAAGCCAGGACAAACTGGAAACATTTTCCTCACTGTGAGATAAAGCCTTATGACAGATGGAAGTAAAAGGTGATTAATTTATCCATTTTCTTTGCCTGCTTGCCAATGATAAAGCCACATCAAATGTCAGGCCTTTCCTGATATATGCTCTGCTATGTCAGCACTCATGAGAAACAACTCAAACCTTTCAGCTCTTTGGCTTTATCAGCATGAGTGATAGGCATCAAGTGATAATGAAAGATGGGGAGCGACTTTCCCCTCCATGTCCTCGATGCTGGAAATTTTCTCTCCAGGGAGACTTGGAGGTGGAGAGATGAGGGCTCCTTTCCCCAAACGCTCTTACAGCTCTTCCTGAGTATTTCCAGTATCTAAGGAACTAGGGGTCACAAGTTCAACAGAGAGGCAAGAAATCATTGTGTGCTTACTGTAGATCATGACAGAAATGCCTATTCCAGCCAGCTCCTCCAGCAGCACCCAGAAAACTGAGAAGATGAAGTGCACGTCATTTTCCCGGCGGTCGCACGTTGCTTTATCTCGGTGTCATTCCAGCTCATCCATCCCTCTTAACTCAGTGTGAAAAAATGTTAATACAAACCTTGCACCTTGCAAATCATTCTTTCTTTCATCTGAGGCTGCTTGGGAACGGCAGGAGAACATCTCCCTGAACAACTCTGCCAGCTCACCTGATTAGATTGACCTGCCAGACTGAAGTGACCAAGAGCTCTTGGGCTGGGCAAGAAGGGTGAGGCAGCTAATGTGTGTGGATACAAGGAGAAAGAAACCTGGCAGACTTTGGCCTGATGCATCCATCCCATCCAGATGTGGCCAACAGCACAGATTCAGGTAGCCCAAGACAAAGTTAGCCGAGCACAGGGGAAGTTCTCTGAGGGCTTCTTCCCCTGCATGACACGAATCTCACAGGTGTCAGCTCCTGCACCTCTATCACAAAACCATAACTCTACTGACTTTTAGACATGGTGCAGGAATGAGGTGTGTTTGTGCTCCTGAAGAGGGTTCCTGCTGCCTAGGTTCATGGTCTTCCTCAGGTAAAGGTTGCTTGCCTACGAAGCTCACCATGCTTAGCAAGAAACACAGACTTCATTGCTGTATTATTATTATTATCATCACTCTTACTACTCTTCTTTTTAATATTAATTGTAATGATAATATTGATTTTATGTACATAACACCCATCCCTGGAGTGCTGGGAAACAACCATAAAAACGACTTCTCTGTAATTACAGTCTCCCTCCCCAAACTCTACAAACTCACAAAAGAACAAACAAAAAGGAATAATAACAATAAACTGGGAACAAGAACAATTTAAAAATACCTTGAGGGGAAAAAAAAAAAATTGTAGCTTTTCTAGTAAAGTCCAAGAGAAGAAGTGAGCTAGATTTCAAAGGTTGGGTGCACTCTGTCCTGTTTGGGATGCCCAATTTCAGGTGCCTCAGCACAGCTGATGGGTCAGGGAGGAGTTGGTAAACACTGTCATCCTTCCCATGGCAGTGCCAACTGCTCCCAAGCCAGGCACATCCAGAGCTTTTACACCAGCAAGTCCAACAAAAGGGAATTTGCCTTTTGCTGGAGTCTGAAACTTGTAAAATGCTGCACTGCCACAGGTCAGTATGGGAAAAGGAGGAATCACGGTAATCACGCCTCAATGCCATGAAATTATCCTTGCCATCACCCAGTCATGATGTGACAAATAAGGGAGCCACATACCTTGTTTACACAGTTGGCATATGGCATTTCAGGGTTAAGTATGATAAATACCACACCACGATTTTGTATCTGGGTCGCACTCTCTGAGCGTGGTCCCTCAACTGCCAAGACATGCAAGAGGAGCAAATCTTCTCTTTACCCTGCCCAGCACTGTTCAAGCATTCCCTGACTGAGGATAAAATAGCTTTGACGTCCACGCTAATGATATCCTTTCAGCACCCTGCGAGCCCTAGGGTCCCTAAGGCATGCAAAATACATCTGAAACCACGAAAGCATTGATAACAGTCAACTCTTGCTTCTTGATAATCTCCCCAAAGATCTGGGCAATTGGAAGAGCCCATGGGAGATACCAGATGTCAGTCCAAGGGACAGTTTCCTGACAGCATCAATCAAACACCTCCTTGCCCTAATGCACCATGGCTGTCAAGACCAGTGCTACGTGGCCCAGCATGCAAGCCACTGAGTTTTGTCACCACTAAGCTACGCTAGTTTTACAGGTAAGCTGACATGTAGATTATTTTCAGCACAGGAACAATTTATTGAGTAATTGAACAAAATAAAATAATCCACTTCAGTGAAAGGGTTTCTATATTAAGTACACTTTACATTTACGATTTAGGCATGAGCCAAAAGCCCAGTGAAAGAAGATTTCCCTGGTTTTGGAATAAAGCCTCATTTTTGCTCCAGTGAGGTCAAGAGCGGCAGGAAGAGAACGCTGATGGAAACCTGTGCAGGAGGAGTTACAGGAGCCCTGGTAGCAACCACAGCAGGGCTGAGTGGGCAGCCTAGATATTATCCAGGCTGGGAAAATCAATGAGCAGCTCTGGCAGCGCCTGTACACCAGAGCCAAGCTAATAAAAACAAATCCCAGGGAATGTCAGCTTGTGACAGAATGGCTCTCCCAGAGATGAACAGCTATTTCCTCCCTTATTAAAAACATCAGTAGAAGAAAACAGCAGCCAAACCGAGCTGCCAGCAGCAAAGGACACATTCCTTTGCTTAATCTGTTCCTCCAGGAATGGAAAGAGTAATATGTTTGGGGGTGAAGGAACAAGCAAGCAGTAAATAAAAACACAGTGTCATTGACTAGCTCAGATATGACCGCTTGGTGCTTGGTGGGAGCTGGCAGTGTGCTGGGCTGGGCAGAGACCCAAGTGGGACAGGTTTGAACTCCTGTGCATTACTGATGCTGCTCCTTGGATTTGTAGGTATCTGGGGCCATGTGGGCTCCCTCTGCTCTTTCTTCCCCATTGCTGGTCTTGAGAGAGGATTACTGCTACGACCTGGCTGCAATGCTTCATGGCTGAGTGCAAAGGGCACTTAAGAAGCAAGTGGTTTTGTAGGTGTGCCAGAAGGAAATCCCAAGGGCTCCCACAGTGCGTCTGGGCTGGCTAATGGCACTGCCTGCTGTGGCTATGCAGGCATGAGATGTTTCGAGGGGGCTTTTCCCCCTGGTGTAGGAGGGGAGGGGTGATATATGCTGGGGTGGATCCCACTGTTTTAGCATCCATTCTCTCCCTCTTTCCCAAGGGTGCACCGAGTGGAACAGGCTGGAACAGGCTGCCCAGGGAGGTTGTGGAGTCTCCTTCTCTGGAGATATTCAAGACCCGCCTGGACGCCTTCCTGTGTAAAATTGTTTAGGTTCCTGCTCCGGCAGGGGGATTGGACTAGATGATCTTTCGAGGTCCCTTCCAATCCCCAACATTCTGTGATTCTGTGATTCTGTGAGTGAGGCAGGCAGCTCTGCTCCACAGCAGACACAGCACTCAGACCTGGTAAATATCCCCTCTGTGCTCTGCAAAGGAGATGTTTTCATAGGCACCACTGGGTCTTAACCCAGGAATAAAGACAGCTTAATTCCCACCAGAAGTCCCTGTGCAACATCACTGTGTTCTGACTGTGGCCATTTAAAATAAGGCTCAGATCCCCGCACACTCCTGCAAGGTGGTTTAGTCACCTTT